TTTAAATCATGCATTTCTGACTTTATATCTCTTAATTCTGACTTTATATCTCGCAATTCTGACTTTATATCTCTTAATTCTGACTTTATATCTCGCAATTCTGACTTTATATCTCGCAATTCTGACTTTATATCTCGCAATTCTGACTTTATATCTCGCAATTCTGAATTTATTTCAAAGAATTGTGAGATATAAAGTCACAATTGCGAGTTATAAAGTCAGAATTGCATGATATAAAGTCAGAATTGCGAGATATAAAGTCAGAATTAAGAGATATAAAGTCAGAATTAAGAGATATAAAGTCAGAATTGCGAGATATAAAGTCAGAATTGCGTGATATAAAGTCAGAATTAAGAGATATAAAGTCAGAATTAAGAGATATAAAGTCAGAATTAAGAGATATAAAGTCAGAATTGCGAGATATAAAGTCAGAATTGCGAGATATAAAGTCAGAATTGTGAGTTATAAAGTCAGAATTGCGAGATATATAAAGTCAGAATTGTGAGTTATAAAGTCAGAATTGCATGATATAAAGTCAGAATTGCGTGATGTAAAGTCAGAATTGCGAGATATAAAGTCAGAATTGTGAGATATAAAGTCAGAATTGCGAGATATAAAGTCAGAATTGTGAGATATAAAGTCAGAATTGCGAGATATAAAGTCAGAATTGCGAGATATAAAGTCAGAATTGTGAGTTATAAAGTCAGAATTGCATGATATAAAGTCAGAATTGCGTGATGTAAAGTCAGAATTGTGAGTTATAAAGTCAGAATTGCATGATATAAAGTCAGAATTGCGAGATATAAAGTCAGAATTGCGAGATATAAAGTCAGAATTGTGAGATATAAAGTCAGAATTGCGTGATATAAAGTCAGAATTGTGAGTTATAAAGTCAGAATTGCATGATATAAAGTCAGAATTGCGAGATATAAAGTCAGAATTGCGAGATATAAAGTCAGAATTGCGAGATATAAAGTCAGAATTGTGAGTTATAAAGTCAAAAGTGCATGATATAAAGTCAGAATTGCGAGATATAAAGTCAGAATTGCGAGATATAAAGTCAAAATTGCGAGTTATAAAGTCAGAATTGCGAGATATAAAGTCAGAATTGTGAGATATAAAGTCAGAATTGCGTGATATAAAGTCAGAATTGTGAGTTATAAAGTCAGAATTGCATGATATAAAGTCAGAATTGCGAGATATAAAGTCAGAATTGCGAGATATAAAGTCAGAATTGCGAGATATAAAGTCAGAATTGCGAGATATAAAGTCAGAATTGTGAGTTATAAAGTCAAAATTGTGAGTTATAAAGTCAGAATTGTGAGATATAAAGTCAGAATTGCGAGATATAAAGTCAAAATTGTGAGTTATAAAGTCAGAATTGTGAGTTATAAAGTCAAAAGTGCATGATATAAAGTCAGAATTGTGAGATATAAAGTCAGAATTGAGATATAAAGTCAGAATTGCGAGATATAAAGTCAGAATTGCGAGATATAAAGTCAAAATTGCGAGTTATAAAGTCAGAATTGCGAGTTATAAAGTCAGAATTGCATGATATAAAGTCAGAATTGTGAGATATAAAGTCAGAATTGAGATATAAAGTCAGAATTGCGACTTTTTTTCCCACAATTGCGAATTTATATCTCGCAATTCTGACTTTATAACACATAATTGCGAGTTTATATGTCGAAATTCTGACATCTTTTCTCAGAATTGTGAGATATAAACTCGCAATTGCGACTCAGGCCAATTCAGAATAGTTTAAATCACGCAATTCTGACTTTATATCTCGCAATTCTGACTTTATATCTCGCAATTCTGACTTTATATCTCGCAATTCTGACTTTATATCTCGCAATTCTGACTTTCCATCTCGCAATTCTGAATTATTTCTCCGAATTGCGAGAAGTAAACTCGCAATTGTGAGAAAAAAAGTCAGAATTGTGAGATAAAAAGTCGCAATTACCTTTTATATTTTTCGAAACAAGCTTCCATCGAACGCTAATCAACTGGAGGCAGAATAAACGAAGACAGATCCTCGGCGCATGCGCACATCCATGACTCATATGTTTTATAGACCACGACTTGATTCAAATGTGCATGAATGGATACACAGATGTGAACTTCTTTAGTAGGAGTGTTAAATATACATTTTTTAAATATGATTATGTCTGCTGTCTTTTCAATTCAGTTTAATTTCTATAGGTTTTATAGCATTCTAAAAGCTCTCAATTCCACAGATTCTACTATTACATACAACAATGCAACAATAATAAAACAATGCATTGACATTTACTTTTGAAAACGAGTCTTAACAACTTTTACTTGTAACAGAGTAATATTTGACCAGTAGTATCTCTTTCACGTAAGTAAGGAGTGTTGTCCACATGAACTCGTACGTTTAGAGTACAGTATATTATGATCTAACTGTGCCCATAGTCTGACCCGTTACTGACCTTGATGAAGTACTTTCACTAGAGTACAGTGTGTCTCTGCAAGAGCATGCTGGGAACGATCCTTCTGTTGTGGTAAAGGGACTTGGCACCGCTTTATTAATGGCACTGACTAAGGTTTGTCCGTGTGCCAGAGCAGATTTTTCCAAAACAGCGCTGGAATGCTTGTGCTTTACTATAGAAATAATTCCCTGTTAAAGACACTGGCGATCGATCAGACGGAAGAAAAAAAATATTTTATTTTCCAGTACAAATATCTAAACATTCTTAAATCAGAATGCATTTACCGGAGAAGCAAAATACTGAGAAATGTATGACGATGAAGTGAGTTTGACCCCATGCTGACCTCCACATTTCAGAAAACGTATAAATGCATCTTGATTTAACAATGTTTAGATATTTGTGCTGGAAAACCATCATGTTTTTGCAATATTTACGCACAATCTCAGGAAATGCTTTCAATATGGCCTGGAATGCTCCTCATATTTATAAATTATGTTGGATTTTACATTGCAATATTCTAGATCTTTTCTTGCCCTTTAACATATATATATCCTACCCTACAGGTTTGGAGTCACGCCAGGCAATAACAGTCGGAGTTATCTCTTATCTGTTCAACAAAACCTGTCAACCCTATAGCACATACACACACACACACACACACATTATCCACCTTGTAGACTACCAAAATAATACACACTGCCAAAACATGCTGGAGATAAGCAGATGGAGCTCTATCTGCGTCCACGCGGGCATCAGCGAAGGCTCAAACTGCAGTATTAAAAATAAACAAGCGCTCATTGTGAAGGCCATGATCTCACACAGGCTTTGCACTTCAGCTGCAAAAACAAAGTGTCCATTTGAAGCTTAATCGTTGCGTCCACAACAGCAATAAGCCTCTCGCAGCGAGAGGAGAACGCAAGGCAATAAGAGGGAACACGAGTGATGTGGATGCAACCTTTGGGACACGACTTCTTCTAACATGCTCGAGAATCATAGAGGAAATGCTATATAATCATTGGTGAAACTCGAAAAATAAGTTCAGGAATTCAACTTAAAAGGTGAAACTAATATATTATATAGACTTAAAGTGAGATATTTCAAGCCTTTATTTGTTTTAATTTTGATTATGGCTTACAGATATGAAAACCTTTTCACAAAATTCTGATTTTGAATTTGGGATTTTCATAAGCTGTAAAATCATAACAAATAAAGGCTTGAAATATCTCACTATATTAGTTTCACGATATTCTCATTTTTCGAGTTTCACATGTATGACTATAATGAGACAGTGAATCAGCAAAAGTGATTGTTCACCTTTTAAAGGTCACCTGCGCCGCACCTCTCTGAATGTAGACACACACATTCATGCACTGCAATGTTTGGAATTTGCTAAATGTATAGAAAGTGAAGTCAGCTGGGCAGGTTTTCGTTGTGTCTAAAAGAAAGATTCTGCAAGACAACATTTTTGGGTGATAATTGCCTCCGGTGCATGTTTAGTACAGCAGCATTAAATGAGGAAGAAGGTCGTTTTCAGAAATCAGAATTAAAAGAGTAGTTCACTCTCCATATAATGGACTTCAATGGGGACCAAACGGTTCAAGGTCCAAAAGACAGTTTCAGTGCAAACTACAACCTGTTTAAAGGGCTTTAAACGACTCCAGACGATGAATAAGGGTCTTATCAAGCGAAACGATCGCTCATTTAATAAATAAATAACAAAGTTTAAGTTTTTCCAGGATTTTCTCCATATAATGGACGTCAATGGGGTCCAAACAGTTCAAGGTCCAAAAGACAGTTTCAGTGCAAACTACAAACTGTTTAAAGGGCTTTAAACAATTCCAGACGATGAATAAGGGTCTTATCAAGCGAAACGAGCGGCCATTTAATAAATAAATAACAAAGTTTAAGTTTTATAAGCTCAAATGCTCGCCTTGCTCTGTTCTGTGATGCGAATCAGATGCGATCTACGAATCTTTTTCCGAGTCAACTCGTTCATTTAGTTCGTTGAATGAACCAAAGGACAAGAAAAAAAGATTCGTTCATTTTGATAAACGAACAGGAGAGTCACGAACGCGCGTCACAGAACAGAGCAAGGCGAGCATTTGAGCTTATAAAACTTAAACTTTGTTATTTATTAAATGAGCGATCATTTCGCTTGAACAGTTTGTAGTTTGCACTGAAACTGTCTTTTGGACCTTGAACCGTTTGGACCCCATTGAAGTCCATTATATGGAGAAAATCCTGGAATGTTTTCATCAAAAACCTTCATTTCTTTTCGACTGTAGAAAGAAAGACGTGGACATCTTGGATGACATGGGGGCGAGTAAATTATCAGCAAAAGTTTTCAAAAGTGAACTACTCCTTTAATATGAGAATCTAGCACGTTCTTCCTTACTAGAAGCCATTTTGTGCTTCAGATTTTGAATCATTGTCTCACCTGTGAAAGTCTTAACTAAAGGTAACCAACAAAAGACTTGGTTGTAGGTCACCGTAAAAACGCGAAATATCACGCAAATTGGAAAAAATAAAAGACGACCAGTGGTATTCTTGCCTAAATTGTCTTTTATTGAAAAAGGCCAGGGTGCAAATGTCAAATAAAAAAAGAAAAACAAAAATAAGACGAGCATATTTCAAGCATTTTAATACAAACTTAATATAAACTATTTCAGTCCCTCTTGACATGTAAGACACTGACTCAAAATACTTTGTTATACCATATTTTATCAAGTATTGCACAATGTAGGTACAAAATTAATATATACGATTACATTGTCCATAATATAGCAAAAATCTGTTTAACTCTTAACAGAAAATACAACTCTTTTTGTTTCAAAAAAGCAAATATTCCTACACTGAAATTCCAACACTAAGGAATATTCTGTACACGATCTTTAGAAGTTTTTTTTTTTTTTAAAGATGAATTTCTTTAACAATTTAAAAAAAGAAAGACAAAAAAAAAAAAAAAATATATTATAACATAAAGCTTCTGCAGCCATCACAGATCACTGGAGTAGTAAAAAGATATAAATGCAATACCGTGTTGTAGAAACAATATATATACTCTGATATTTTACAAACTCTGTACTCAATTAAATTATACAATTAGAAAAAAAGACCACGTAACCCCAGATATATTTATGCATTAGTGCCAATTTCTTAAAAATCAGCCAAGTCTTAACCAACTTTTAAAATACTGTAAGAGGCCAGAACTTGAACTTCTGGGTTTTGCTTCTTTTTTTTTTTTTTTTACCAATGTTTTAAAGTATTTTTTTCTTCCAAAAGGTAGTAAAAAAAAATTTGTTTTTTTTTTTGCGTTATTGGCGAAAAAGGAAAAGAAAACATTGACGCGTGTTGACCAAGCCGTGTGTATGTGTGTGTGTAACAAGCTTTCAGTACAAACTCAAGGGGGCATAAAAAGAGATTAGGAAGAAAAATCAAATCAAATAAAACAAAACACCCTTGGGCTCATGCGCTCATCACGGACTAACGGTAGAGGTCTTCCACATCCACAGTTGCGCGTCTTTGCCTTACGTTTTCCTTTCGCCAACAATCCTTCCACTAGTTAGTTAGCCATGACCGGCTGGAATTGCTGGTTGGAATACTGCATGTTCCCGAGACTGAAGCTCAAGCCGTCCATGAGAGACTTGTCGTTCCCGTACGCGGAGAACACGTCGAAGGCGTTGCTGTACGGCTGAGGGCTGATGGCGTTCTCGCTCGGGAAGCTCCCTTGTCCTTGAAGGTTCGGGAACACGAACTCTTTCGCGTTGGGAGACAAAGCCGACGAGCTTCCAAGGCCGAATCCATAGAGCGAATGCATGGAGTTGGAAATGGCTTTTTGCTTGATTAGGTTGTTGACGTTCAGGCCGAGATTGGTGGGCGAGTTGCGGGAGACTTTCCCGCCGTTACGCCCGCCGTTCTTCATCTTAGTGGAGCCGAACTTGGTGGCGGCGAAGGACGCGGTGGTGAACGTCAAAGGCTGGTTGGATCGTGGCATGAAAGACGGGCTGACGGATGCCGATTGGCCGAACGGTGGCGGTGATGGCGAACTCGACTCGGAGGACACGCCCACCGGATCCGTGATTGGCATGAAGACCTGAGCCTCCGGGTTAAAACTGTTTCTGATTTCTTTGTCCAGCTCGGAGCCGTTTTCGCCGTTGTCGTCCACGTATAGCACCTTGACGGCTCCCTTCTCGCCGATCTGGTAGGAAACCTCGAAAGGGTCGATCCAAACGCTGAGATCCTGAGGCAAGTTGTTCCGAACGTCTTCGATGTCCAACCCGCTTTCTTTGGCTGCTTCCTCCACGACCGGATCTACTTTCTCGCCCACGTGTATGCACCTGAACCCGGATCCTTTATATGGCTTGTCTGGGTACCAATGTCCTTCGTATTTCTTCTTCAACTGCCTCTCCAACTCTTCGCCGAATATGTTGACTCGTCGTCGTGGGAGTTTGTTGTACAGGTACGAAATGATGAAGTTCAGCGCTACTTGGATTTCAAGCTGCATAGCTGTGCGTCTGTGCCGTCTTTATAGTCGAGTGCTGTAAAAACCTCCAAGGCAGTAGCGATCGGTGCTGGCGGACGAGGGAACGCTTGTTGAGCCGCTGGAAAATCTCCTTGAAGGGGAAAGAGAGGCAAGGTATTCAGCGGTGAAGAGTCATAAACCATGAGCTATTGTACAGAAAAACACTACGGACTAGAGCCCGACCGATAAAGGATTTTGAAGGCCGATACCGATACAAATATTTTTTGGTTTTAATATCCGATATGTCGGCCGATATTTTTTTATTTCAGAAACGTGCAACAAAACATTAACAGATTTCCCTAACATTAGTTATTTGTAGTTATTTATGAGTTTTAACTAAAATAATATGATAATGCATTTTAAAAAGAAACTTGTTTCTTTTATTGTCACAACTGAACAGACTGACGATAGTGGCATTAGCTAGCTTTAGGGTTAGCTAGTCAATGATGAGCCATAATTTAGCAATGGATTACGTCACACTGCAAATTGTAAAACATAAATTTTCAATATAACAGGCCGAGGAGAGACGATGCGTCTCATTGCTATAACTGTCACGCGCTATTAAAGAAATATTTCAGTCACGTTGTCAAAAGTTAAAAGGAGAGTCAACTACAACTGTAACAACGTAGCGCAACTATTACTAGCTAATTCCGCTTCACTTTCGGCTTATTTAACAGCAAAACTGGACACGATAGTCACAAATTTAGTCATGCTTATTTGAGTTTAGAGAACTGATGGGGATGATCGTTTAATTGTTATTCAAGCATCGTATGTCTCGTGACCAACTCAACGAGTGTTGCTAACAGGGACTGTGTAGAGTGCCCTCTGGTGGACAAACTATACAACTCCAACACTCATGACATGGTTCAAGCGTGTTTCGTCCATTTTTATTTTATTTTTTAAATATTCATTTATCGGCCATTATAACTGCCGATACCGATAGTTTGGAAAATGCCTAATATCGGCCGATAATATCGGCCTGCCGATATATCGGTCTGGCTCTACTATGGACCGGACGTTCATAAACGCATTTCAGAAGTACGAAGGTTAAAAGCGATAAAATCGGGTTAAATTTGCTTAATCCGTTGCGTTTTGCGCATCATGGGCCTGGGAGTTTGGAGAAAAACATGCAAATAAGTTTGATTAAAGGGTTAATTCACCCAAAAATGGAAATGATCCTGTATTGTTTTACTCGCCTCAAGCCATCCTAAGTGTATGACTTTGACTGAAAGAAGAAACACAATCCGAGTTATGAAAAAATATCCTGGCTTTATAAGGGCAGTGAACGGTACCTGAGATTTTAAAGGCCAAAAAACATCCATCCATACGCCTGCAGGGGTTAATAAAGGCCTTCTGAAGCGAAGCCATGCGTTTGTTAAAGAAATATCCATATTTATAACTTTACTGTTGTAACAGCCGTATGGCGGGAGTGACCTCTGACCCGACATATTGACGAATGCAGAAGCACAAAGGATAGAGAAAACAAAACACTGGTCATGAATTATAAGTCTAAAACAAGAATTTTGAAAGAGAAACGTGGGAGGAGCTTGAGTTTCTCGTTTGAGCTTACGCTACTCCTACATCATGTATCAGGTCAGAGGTCATGTGTCAGGTCAGAGGTCACACTCTGCCAGAACTGGACTCGCATACGGCACGGCCATTACTGGAAGTTATAAATAAATTTCTCTTACAAAAACGCTTCAGAAAGCCTTTATTAACCGCTGCAGACCTATGGATCACTGTTATGATGGATGGATGCGCTTTATTGGGCTTTAAAATCTCAGGTACCATTCACTTCCATTATAAAGCTGGGAAGAGCCAGGATGTTATTTTTAATGTAACTCTGTTTGGCTGAAAGAAGAAAGCCATATTCATCTAGGATTGCTTGAGGGCAAGTAAATTATGGGATATTTTTGGGTATGTATTGAATATAATTTTTATTTAAATAAGCTGTACAGTAGGTTGCTATAGTGCGTAGGGAAAATATTCCCATTTATTTTGAATTTTTTCACAGTGTAAAGTCTATCTATCGCACGAGGATGATCACGTTTGGGGGTCTGAGGATTGAAACCCGCTGTTCAAGGGAGATTACATAACACAGATTCTCTTGCCTTGTTTATTCCGTCAACTGTTGCGTAAAAACGCCTTTATGTGAATATAGGGCGTTTGAACACAATGCGACACATTGCGCAACAGATCGGTGATCGGATTTCCCGAAGATCGCGACCAATAGCGTGTCGCCCTGCTCGGGGTGTGTATCCCTGGGCGAATTGGTAAGCTATTGTACACATATAATTACAAAGGCAGGCTTACATTCGACAATACAACCAGGAGTTTGATATTCGGTGGTTAAAACACGAAATCAAGGAAAACATATGCGTAAAATAGTGCGTTTTGCTCGCGTATTCCGACAAAAACAGACGTCGGTTATTGCGTTGCAAACGAGCGTTGGATTCAAATGAGACACTGCCATGATTATTATGAATATGAATGGGAATATTCTGGACGCCGTGTTGAAATGACTGCAAAACCGTGAACAGATCAGCTCAATCGCTGTGGATAAGCCAAGCTAAATGACGAATCAAAATGTGGATTTGAATGAACTTTGACACTGTTAATGTTTTGGGATTCATGACACAAACAGGCGACAGCGTGAACACTCTCACATGATCGCAGGCTAGATTAAACTAATTCATGATAATAAAAAAGCAACACATTCAAGCAGACAATTTGAATTAATCGGGTTCTTAAAGCGACAACGCACTCAAATAAATATTATTCTTGCCTTCAAAACGACATGCGTTGTTTTCCTGGAGCACAAAAGATGATTTTAGGGACTGACAGCTTCGACCATTGACTTATTAATGCATTTTCTTTCCATACCATACAAGTGAATGGACGTAACCGAGGCTGTCATTCTACCTAACGTCTCCTTTTGTGTTGCACCGAGGTTTACACCATTATTTGTAAGTTAAACTACAGCTTTACGGCGGTGACATTGAGATACAATACAAAGATATATATCTATTAACCCTTAGCGAGCGAATGTTCAATGCCAAAAATACTTACATTAAACGACCGTGTTTTTCTCTCAGGGTTGGGCTTCCGCTTCAGTTGTCGAAAGGATTATTCCAGTTAGGTTGCATTAATAGGATTACTTGTTTGTTCTTCGGGTAATTGTGTTATTTATTTTTTTGGAGTCTGTCGTCAAGCAATCCGACTCCCCACTGCCTGGGAGTTTTTACAACTCTGCCCTTTAAACTCCTGACTGGATCTCCTTTATAGCGCTCCTCCGCCACGGACAGGTTGGGGGCGGTGATGCGGTTTTCAGAGGTCAAAACCCCAGCGACGCTTACGATTGGACGAACGCGCCTACGTCATATATTTGCCTCCGAATTCTCCGCGCTGATTGGTTTTGCTCTAACGTCAATAATCAAAGGGACCCGCCCCTCAACCAATGAACGAAAAATACATTAACGGCTGGGGTTTCTAGTTATGTATGTTTTAAGTGTTTTCCTCCCACACGTAGGAGATTTGAACACACTAATACTGCATGGTTTATTATGATAATTTGCTTTATCGAGACATCAGTGCTGTTAACGGCCTATCGTTATAAAAACAGTCTCTCTGCAGCTTTCGTTGACATGATTATGAAGTCAGATTAAAGGTTCTGAATAATAATCTCGTTAATAATTTCAGACATTTTAAGCAGATAAGAAGGTACAAATAAATAAATTAAAGCGATAGGCTACATTAAGCAAAGCACTAGCACAGAGCGGAGTGACACTGGTCATTTGTCCACTGAGGTGTAATCTGCCCTTGCGTGTTTTGCGTGGAAAATATACTCCGATGCTATTGGCTGTCCGTGTTTTCGTCATCATCAATGCAAATACACTAGTAATTTCAGTATCTGCAGAGTGGATAACAAAACATTACTTAGTAATTCAATCAATAAAAAGTACTATAATATATTATCTATAATGTGTATATGTATGTGTGTGTGTGTGTTATCTAATGTAATGTAAATACTCCACATACCCTGATATTATGGATTTAAAATGTACCTTTTAGAGAAAAAAAAGAGTATGATTTTTTTTAAATGTTATTCCGTATGTTATATTGTCTATATTTTGTGTTAAAGTAATAAACTCAGCATAGCCTACTCATTTCTGTGCATGGTTATACCTTGTTGTTACCTTTTAAGTTATGCAATATGCACAATACGTTGCTTTTGAAGAATATGACGGCGATGAAGAGTGACATGTGACTAAATAAACATGCAAGTTATTTATTAATACAAAAGTCCAAATATAATTGTCTGATAACAGTGTAAATCAAAACGCAGTTATTCATCTGTGCTGCATATATTGTAACGTGATACAGCCGTGTTGTGTTGCTTTTTCTTTCAGGAATAGTATGTTGATCTCATATTTCATCGGTCGAGTAAGACAAGCTCTCATACGCGAGGGGTTTAAGGGTTTTGACGGCGTCATGAATTGTTATAAGCTGTGCACACTATAAGCTTATACCATATGGACGAGGATTGGCAACGCTAAAGCAGAGGAATATTGCTCTCCAGCCATTGTGTCTTTAAATATTTAGCTTAAGACGTTTGGGATTCCAGACTCACAATACAGTTTAAAATGAATCCTAAGTTGTGCTCTGGGGTGAAGCAGAAATACAGGTCCATCTCTACTGTTTGTCTTATTGGCCTGATTACAGAGAGAGGAACATGCTAATGACTGCAGATTTCTAAACTGGGTAGTCAGGATAAGCTAATTTGCTTAGCAGGGATATTGTGAGCGTTCAAAGTTCAGAGAAAGGCGGAGCGGGAGGAGAAACGACCGACTCAGCCAATCACCTTCTTATTGCAACCTTCTTGGGTTATAGTGACTGCTGATACTGAAATGTGACCTGACGGCCTTTCTCTATACGGTCGTTGTGGAATTAATAACAATGCATGTCACTTAGGAACCCAAACACTGTCATTTGAACTCTACGCGAGGCGATTTGTATCATTTAAGTTTGGTTTTCTTATCCAACATCAACTTAAAATGTGAAACTAATATATTATATAGACTCATTACATGCAAAGTGAGATATTTCAAGCCTTTATTTGTTATAATTGTGATGATTATGACTTACAGATATGAAAAGCTTTTCACAATATTCTATATAGCTTACCCAAATACAACAACATAAATATGCATGGTTAATAACTGAGCAGCAAATCATCATATTAGAATGAAGGATCATGTGACACGGAAGACTGGCATAATGATCATTTTTTAATTTTTTTTTTTTTTTATGTTTTGCTTGAACGGATTGGGACGAAATTTGGTGCCTTTTGTTGTAGTTGCAATGTGAACCCACACAAGAATCACGGACATGATTCGGATGTGTTAATCTGAAATATTGGATTTATTGCAAGTTCCTTAAAAACACTTTTAATGGAAAAATAGCTCATTTAAAAAGGTATAAATATTACATTGGATCATATAATCTCCTCAAAATTCTAAATAACAATCGAAAAATGTTATTGAACAAAAATATATAACATTGATTTTCCTGAAGGGAAAAAAAAGTTAGATTTCAAGGCTTTGTCACTTTTGAAGGCACATTATGTGACCCAAAAATTAGGGGCTCAAAGGGTTAATGCTATAAATAAATACACAAATAATGCAAAAATTAACGTTCTTCCTCACTAATTTTTTTTCTTGTTTTTAAGTTGTTGTTGTTCTTAAGTCAGGTAGACATTTACTTGAGAAATGAAGTCTTGTTCTCTAAAAATGAAGTGAGATTGTGCTTAAAATGAGAACAAACTTCTGGTCATAAAAATCGACTTAACTCAAAAGAAAAACAAGATCTTTTTTCTGACCGGCAGGTATTTGTTCTTGTTTCAAGCAAAAACTCTTAATTTTAATCAAACTCAGAATCAAAACAACTTATCATCTGATATAATTTTGCTTCTCCAGTAAATGTATCTTGATTTATGAATGTTCAGATATTTATGCTGGACACACAGTGTAAGTTTATGACATAGTTCCTCCTGTGAAACACAAAAGAAGGTATTTTTGAGTTTTTGTTGTTGTTGTTTTGCCCATACAATGAAAGTCAATGGTCGCCAAAACTGTTGGGCTACACCAAATATGTTCTTTTCTGTTCGAGAAAGAAAGTCACAACAATAGGACCAAACTTGCGTAAATGGTAAACATAAAAACGAAACACCTCGCACAAGTGTGATGTAGACACTGTCGCATAGCAACAATAAACACTGAACTCACAACACACTGGGGCTCCTCCCTGACGATGATGTCACGGCTCACACACCTTCGTGTTTCTTCACGACACACACTCAGTTATTTCAGGAACGGGTGTAAAGAAAGAGCAGCCGTTCTGCATTCCAGTGTCAGTGTGTGTTTATAACGCTGAACACGTCACTGAAGAACAATGAGGAAAATGCACACACTTCCAGTGAGTTCAGATACTGGACTGGGAATGAAGCATGTCCAGTATTACACTGACTCACAGTAGGCGGATCAGGCCATTAATGATGACGATGAGGATGATGATCTGAGGAGAATGGGCGGAGCAACACTACTCTAAAAAATGCTGGGTTGTTTTAACCCAATTTTGGGTCAAATATGGACAAACCTAAACTTTGGGTTAAATTAATTTAAAATGTTAACCCAATTACTGGGTTTGTCAATATTCGATCCAAATTTGGGTTGAAATAACCCAGCATTGTTTAGAGTGTATAATGCACACAAACTCGCCAATAAATGAAAGTAGGATATTTGTAGAGATCAGATCATTTCTTTTCTTCTCTTATTTACTGTACTCTTGTACTTAGACGTGTGTGTGTGTGTGTGTGTGTGTGTATATATATATATATATATATGAACACTCTAAAAATTAAATTTGGGTCAAATATGGACAAACCCAGTCACTGGGTTACATTTTTTTTTTACAAAACTTTTAACCCAAATGTTTGTCCATGTTTGACCCAAATTGGGTTAAAACAACCAGCATTTTTCATGCAAAAGCCTCTAAGTCCGTCTAACGTTTTTCTTATATATATACTGTATATATATATATATATATATATATATATATATATATATATACTGTATATGAAGAGTTCAGATGCAAAAGCCTCTAAGTGCCATTTGAAATTTTCTTCTAAAATGATCATTTTTATCAAGCTTGTATATTTAAGTTCAGTAATTTCACTTAAATATCATTGCCATTTAAGTGAAATTACTGAACTTAAATATACAAGCTTGATAAAAATGATCATTTTAGAAGAAAATTTCAAATGGCACTTAGAGGCTTTTGCATCTGAACTCTTCATATACAGTATATATATATATATATATATATATATATTGTCATGGTTGATGTTGATATGGGATTTAGAATGTAATTGGTAATAATTAATGCAATATGTTTAAAGAGAGTAATAGTACAGTAATCTAATTACAATGTTGATGTAAGTTAGTAATTAATAATTTACTAGCTAGTAATTATAATTAATATTTACAGAGTAACTTATCCAACACTGTAGGTATATATATATATATATATATATATATATATATATATGCTTTGCTCACCAAGGCTGAATTTATTTGATCAAAAATGCAGTAAAAACAGTGAAATATTATTATAATGTGAATCATCTGTTTTATATGTGAATATACAGTAAAGTGTAATTTATTCCTGTGATCAAAGCATCATTACTCCAGTCTTCAGTGTCACATGACCCTTCACAAATCACTCTAATATGAGGATTTGATGAGCAATTATTACTGTATAGCTCAGTTATTAATTTTCTCTAATAACCATGCATATTTATACGTTGTTGTGTTTGGGTAAGCTATATTGTTGAGATGTTTATGATTATGGCTTACAGCGTATGAAAACCTCATATTCAAAATTAGAATATTGTGAAAAGGTTTTCATATCTGTCAACTATAATCATCAGAAATTATACCAAATAAAGGCTTGAAATATCTCACTTTGCATGTAATGAGTCTATATAATATATTAGTTTCACCTTTCAAGTTGAATTATTGAACTTTCGCATGATATACTAATGTTTCGAGTCTCACATAATAAACACTTAGAAAAATAAGAATTGTCAGTTTTGATTTCATGCCGACTCTGGGTTTTTGGCCTACAAAAATACATCAAACATGTTTTGTAGTTTATTAGCTGGAGTTGAGGGATTATATGCACCATTATTTTCGTGGCATCAT